AGTAAACTTTATTGGAAAAATATCATATATTAATGAAATATGGCACTTGGTGCCCGAAACAATGCCGAGACAGCCTACATTTTGAGAAATAAACTGACGAATATTGATGCAAAAGCAATATCTGCGGTTCACTTTTCTCTAAAAAAAGCATTTTTCAACAAAATTTCTCGTTTAAGCTTAGCTTTTTTTACCAACATCTACAGTACAAACTACACCATTTGAAAAATACTGCTGGCATAGTACTTCATGTCATCCTACTAAAGTAAACCACTCGTAGCAATTACAACAACATTACTAATGGATGCTCAACGTAGTCAATCATGAAGTATAGACCGATAGAAATTATCAGTATATYTACAAAAGTCATAGCAATAATAAACCATCCCCTTAGGGGATATCAAAACTCTATTGTAGAGTCTAAAGTCCATGAAATATAATTACAGTTATAGCTAGTCTTTCTTTTGTACCAATTTGATTTATATTTATCCTTGGTAATCTGTTTGATGGGATTAATACTAGTCTGTCCAACTGACGTTTTTGGATATTTGACCGTTTTGAATAAACACCATTGGYCAAAACATTGTATGAATATAGAGATATATGAAAATATAAAATAACAGTTTACAAGCACCACAAATATGTTTTGATTTCGTTACAAGACTAAACGAATTTCAGAATCCAGTACTACCTAAGGTAAAAATCAGGGGGGAGTGTAACAAAAACGTATTGTAAAAATAGATAGAAGAAAAATAGCATCCCTGCAACCTCCCCCTGGATTCCAAGCCAGCATGTACACGAGAACGTTTCATAACAAGRTTGTATGTACTTGTTAAGATGAGAAAATGTGTCTTGTTTTTCACTTAATTTGATTCAGGAAGAATTTTTCATTTTGTCATCTTTTTGAGCAAACGTTTTCCCGCTCTTTTGTGCGTCAACATTCACAGATGACAGAAAGATAATCATCGGTCTCATTCATGATAACYGGATGGACAGACATTTTTATAGCAAGGACACTTTCCTCGCGGCGTGTTCCATRTCGACATACRTTTTATGAGCATCTTTTTGCAGGTCAAAAATCCAATTCTTTCTCTGAACCAAATCCAATAATTCATTTAGCAACAGACTTGCCTTTAAAGTACTCAACGAACCAATCAAAATCAGTTTCGACTTGGCACGTGTCACGGCTACATTCACTCGTCTCCAGTCCTTTAGAAGGTCTCCGACGGAAGAGGATTCGTTGCTTCGTACAAGAGACACAATAATACAGGCTTTGTCTCGTCCTTGATACTTGTCCACTGTGTTAATCTCGAGGGTGCTGCGGGAATCCCGCGGGTCTTGTCCAAGAGCCTCTCTAAGAAAAGGTACGGTCAGCTTTAATTCAACAACACGCTAAGAGTATTAGTGATGCTTTAAATCAAGGGATATTTTATACATAGAGCATGCGCATTGAGTACTATTTATATTAGTACTTTCATATTTTCCTTTTGGTATTTTTGTTTCTTGTTGGTGTGCACCCCCCTTACACCTTCACTCATCCCTGAAGTAAATCCTTGATCATTAAAGTGTATTTCTCAGTTACAATACCTTATCAATTTCAATTGATGTCGGTAGGGCGAGATTATACCAACTGACGAAAGTTCCACACCACCAATCTGTAATGCGCACGTCAACTGTTGTACTATCACTGCTTCTGTCTCATTAGACACCAGTCCTTCCTTGCGCGACTCGTAGCCAGGAACATTGTCCGTGTTAAGGAATAGTACCGATTGCTTGGGCTCTAATGCTTTCAACAACCAGTTTTCTTASAACAGAATAAAGAATTATCAATTGAATTGGATTCAAAGTAAAAAGGTGCAGCGAACCGTTGATTGTCAAGGCAACGACAATACAGGGTAATAGACATGTGAAGTGAAGGCAGCTTCATCTCTTAAGAGCTTGTCCACAGATGGCGCCACCCAAGGGCAGATCAAGGATTTTTGTTTATTAGGGGGGGAAGGGGGGCACTGAAATGGCGCGAACGTTTGGCGGGAAATTTTCATGACGGATTAGTTTGGAGAACGGCCCCTCCCCTAATTTCGCACTGCCACCTTTGCACGAACTGCAAGGGATTTATAATGAAATGCGGTTAGGGACTGTGCAATATTTATCAGGAGGGGGAYGAGAAATGAGCCAAAAATRTCAAAGAAGTTAATTAYTACCACCCCTCGCAAACGAAATAAATTGCGCTCTGCCCCTCCCTGTCGTGTACCTTGTACCCTTYACTAKATTAACGGAATCRTGTCCTAGTTACTCACCACYAGTATCTGAACCATCAAGTCCTTTGAACATCGACACAAGCTTGTTCCACTKTGGTATACACAGGACAGTGTTAGCGACTTGTTCGGTGCCACATTTCAGACGGTTTTCGTAGATAAGATTGTTGGACARTGTCATGATATCCTGGTTCATACGATATTGATGCTCTAGACACACCATGGCTTGGGGATGGTGCTCTGATAGACGCTTGAATAGACTGATATCCATGCCACCCTCTCTGAGAAGGACAGACAAAATATTGTATTTAGTATAAATATATTGGATAAACATATCGAGACATGAACAATAACAAAGGAAAATGAAACTTTGTGAAAAAAGAAACAAAGAAAAAGGCAAAATGACGTACAAAATACTCCCTTCCCACCCCACAAAAAAATGATTGATAAATGAAAATACACATTAAATCAGGGGTCGTTATACGAAGGGCAAATAAAGTTATCCAGGATTTATTCTGTTCGCCYTTCGTACAATCGGACCCAGATGTTTAGTTTAGTCCAGCTAATAGTCACGCACGTTATTCCAATTATMATTCTAACCTGGCTTCAAGGCTTTGTACGAGTGGAGGAAGTTGATAATGATCACCAACCAACACAAAKACACTAGCATGGTGCAGTGGACCTAAGCACACCGGCAATGTAATCTGGGATGCTTCATCAACTATACAGTAATCAAACGACCTCTGAGAGAASAGGGCGTGGTTCATTCCTAAACACGTGGTGGCCACAACATTCTAATAAAGAAACAGATTGACTGTGACATTGGCTGAAAGGAAAGAGGGCCATCGACTCAAAATAAGTCTACAGTACGACTTAAAAGACCAAACTCTTTCCGACTATTTATTTTAGCGATGTCCCGTTTCCGCTTTAAAAACGCATTAATCTTCAAAGGAAAAGTTTTCAAACATTTGTTTGAAAAAGATATAACAATGTCGGATCAAGTGTWCAGAGCGCATGTTCAGTTGTCTACGACCATTCGGTGGATAAAATCAATGAAATACATCATTATGCTTTATAAATGRCCCCTAAAAACAACACGTTCTTTCGATTTATTTTATTTTGTCTCTCAAGCAGACATATTCTTACGTGATGTAAGAAGGTCGACAGTACTCTTAATGTATTACTACCTTTGACATGTAGAACTCTTTCAGGTGATTGACAGTCTTGGCATGAGCCCCCGCTACTTGGGTGGAGTAAGGTTGGATTTCAGGCAGCATTTTATGTACTTGACCCAGTCGAAGAAAGTCGACATTATCCTGAAACAAGGAGAGAATTATTTGACATAACGTAACAAAGAATGACGCACAATTTTAATAAAGGCGCAATTTCAAATCTAGGGTGGCTTGAATACTAGTCATTTTGGAATCATTTTGGAAGTCGAGCATAGAAAAAGCTTTTCACTAATAATTAGACGCTAAACCCATTTCATATGGGTATTAAATGAATATGTACTCGATGATAAGAGAAGGCAGGTTTTCTTAGTGTTTGGATGCACGTGATTCCAATTTCAACTCCCGGTCGCACTTTTTATGCATCGGTTAACCGCTGTACCCTGAACCCATGGCTCCATCTTTCTGATAGCACAAGACCTCTTCAGTCACTAAGTAGCTATTATATTTGCTACTATTTGCTTTGCTAAAACTCATTCTCTAATGTAAAGAATTTGTCATACGGACCGCGTCGACTTTAAATCTCAGTTAATACTTAAGACGTCAATTGTTATTCGTGTGAAAACAAATAACAAACAAACCAATRTAGTGAAGGCAAGAGTTCATACCTGTTTGAGTTTAAGTAAAATGTTGTCTACTGCAGTATGTGTATAGCTGGTAAGTAATACCGACTTTCCTCTATTTACCAGGATACGAACAAGGCAAGCAATAGTAGTGGTTTTTCCAGTACCTGGCATGCCTAATATTAAGGTGTAGTCCTCCGCACAAAGTACTTTCATAATCGCTCTTTTTTGATCAATGTTCAAACCTTCCATGTGAGACTCTGTCACAATGTCACGGTATATTGATGGTTTGGGAGTCTGAGAGCTAAACCACGTGTCAATGTTAGTGACTGATGGCCAGTTTATAGAAATCAATAATAAAATAATAAACGGAGAGAACAAAGCAAAGCAGAGCAGAACAGAACAGAACAGAGCAGCTGAGAGCAGAGCAGAGCAGAGCAGAGCAGAGCAGAGCAGAGCAAATGAATGCAAGCAAATAAATGATTGGGAGGACACCCTATTGACTTATTCCAATCAGTGTTCTGTTTTAACCTGTTAGACAGTTGAGTATCTTGACTACTGGTTCCTGTGGAAACCTGGCTAGTGAAATTAATAAGCGCTTGCCGGCTGCGACAGAAGACCGGAGGCTTCAAATCAATAATCAATTGTCGAAGTTCTTCGTTTCTTGTCGTGTCGTTATGAAGTAATTTCGCTATGTTTGACCAAAGTGTAGTAAGGGTGTTGTAGCCATCGTTCTTGTCAAGACGGTAGATAGGGGTTTGTTGACTATTTGATGTAGATCTGTAGCTGAAGTAAGAACAAACAGATAAAAGATCTATATTTAACACCAGAGTTTATGTYTTCGCAAAMCAGCCCGAAAAAGAACGCGTCCTTAGTTTACACTTTCTTCGKTCCCACAATGCWCCTCACCGTACATAGCATGACGTCATCAGGWGGAAGGCTTTCGGTYTTATCATAACTATTTTCTCACCTTTTCAACAGATCTCTATCAAGAGAGACAGTAACCTCAAGTGATTCGACATGACGAATGTAACCTACAAACGACAAGAAAATCACTGATATGACAAATTAGGTCAACCAATGTGACTATGGTGAAATCACAAGAGTATAAAGATACAAATATATATTTTACTCATGTATAAAAAATAGATGAAAAAATCTTTCAAAGCAAATAATTCAGATATGTTGTAACCGATTTACCTGCAGCTATAGCAATAGAAGAGCTTTCTTCTTCRCTGACCACGACACGGTCACCAGAGTTCAGCGGAATCTCCACAAAAGGAGTATTAATTGGACTATCCGCTGATCGTTTAAACTTGTGAACATGCATTTTATCACTGTCCAATTGAGGATCACGTGATGACAGCACTAGTCCGCTGAAGCATTGACCGAGTGTTTCTCGTTCCAGTCCTTTCAAGCTCCATATATGGTGTTGACTTGTTTTACCAGATTGCTGCACTTCTTTACCCTCGAGGCAAAYCAGTTTAAACCAATCAGAAAAGAACCGAGTATGATCTGACGTCAAGTGTTGGGTGAGTTTGATAAAGTCATCACCAAGACCGCTGGTCACGTGATCACCATTTTCRAGGGATTTGTGAAACAAAGTGCAGTTGTTGGCTTGTGAACAGCGGTTACACGTGTGCGCATCTTTTAGCATCCCTACAACAGAAGACAAGGATGATTGTTTGAATATTGATGTTTCTCTATTCAGTGAAATCTCGTAATTTTCTATCGKCTCCTGTTTTTAACCAACTGTCGGTTTCACCTCATTAAAAGTGATTTCACTGGAATGAATTATAAATTTACAACATCTCAGGGTTTTTACGCAACGTACCGGGCATCTGGCGTCCACCAGTGGTTCGACCAAGAGACAGGTATCGCGCTACTTCATTACGGCGCATGATCAATGCTCGTTTCTCATGGATCAGTGCTGGTACTCCAACCATGTGGGATGACTTCATGTAGTACAGAAGACCAGAGTTGACAGCATGACGGTGGCGATCAGACAGAAGTAATGTGTACAGGATAACTTGTGCGCGGTGATCGACTGAACCTAAAATAAAACAACCCTATTACAATAGCTGTACAGATTAAAAAAGCTAATCGGTTTTATCCTTTTTTTTCTAAGACAGGTTATCATAGCCCAACGTTGTGACAGGCCAGCGGTTATATGCTCATAATTACACATATTCTATTTTGGTCCAAAGCACCACCACCAATCAAACTGATTCAATTGATAAGGCTGCGTCAACCGCCCAAGACATAAAGGCGCTCTGAAGCGTTCTAATATGAAAATGTTGAGAGATTGGGCAATATATCAGAACTCTCCATAATCATGTTAAGTCTTGGCCTACTCTTGGCAACTGAATACAGAAAGTAATAAAGTGACTGAGTGAAGACATCATAGCTTACCTAATTTGGAGAAAACCTTGCCCGTTTTTAACTCTAATGGCACAATACACGACTGGATCGCGTTATCTTTGTCGGGTCTATGTCGCCGAATCTTCGGACGACGATCAATTTTAACTTCGACAGTTGCATCAACTTTACCTACGAGTACAATATAAAATGTACAATATAAAATGTACATGCTCTTTATCTCATTTATTGAATATGGAACGATTGGAGTTCAAAACAATCAAGATCAAGAAAGTTTCCTCTTTCAATTATCCACCCATCCATCCGCCCATCCATTCATTTATTTTCGACTGATTCATTTTCTTATTCCTTTCATTTTCCCATTYATCCATTTGTTTATTAGTGAGCAGTTCAATGACTGATCTACTCATCTCATTCAACCTTCAAAGTACACATATACAACAAGCCCACCTTTCAGGCCAAACCTYGGAGACCAAACATTCTCTTCAATGTCTTTTAATTCTGCTATACAAACACTGGGTTKTTCCTGGGTATCTGAAGWCTCTGATGCTGTCTTATAATCCATAACGCCTAGGTCAGGTTCTGGAGTTGAGTGTATGTATTGCTTAGCCCATTTAGAAAACTCTGGTATAATAGCACTGATTTTGTCCATAGCAGTAACCTCTGTCATGCCAAGACTAAACAAGGAGTCCAAGTAAGAGTGCTGCTCTAGAAGGGATTTTGCCTGTGAGATTAGATATTCAGTGGAGAATTCTGTAATAGAAAATAGAGAAAGAAAATTTTATTTCTTTGTTCAAACATCATCAATTTGAGAAATCATGGTCATCTCTACATTGAAGGCACTTCCTTCATACAATTAGAACTCCAGACATACATTCATTGTTGGTATTATCAGAGTTTTCAATCCATAGTAAACAGCCATTACTTTGTAGTTTACATTTTTTGTCAAAAAAAAACTTATTCCATCATGATGGAATGTTTGTAAAAGCAATTTTAATTACTTTTTTTGGTGAGAGATTGCTGTACAAATCCTGGTAGATACTGGTAAATAATACATGACATTATGTCATGAATATGTGCATACTAGCAACGCCTTCTCGCAACGCTTAAAATCAACAACAGAGCATTGAGTGTGGGAGCAACCTTAACCTACCATTGGACTGCATGGCATTGTCAAACAACTCATGGAGTATTGTGCCCATCAACATGGCTTCATTGGTGTTTTCTGTGCGAAACCTTTCATTAAGAATACTCCTGCGYAAACAWCGTGTTGCCCCAGCGACAGTTGTCCCAGAAACCAATGTATCAGGATGGACAACAAGGTATTGGTCAGTTTTGTTGTCAAGGATACAAACCCTTGATGTCATATCAAATTCTCCTGGTGAAAAAGATGAAGTGTATTGAAGAGTACCTGAAGAATGGAGGGAAGGAAGAATGACAGAGAAAGGAAGAAGAAAAGAAAAATAAGAAAGAACAAGTAGAGAAAGAACAAACAAACAAAAAACGGATAAATGAAAAACCAAAYAAAATAAAKAAAATAAAKAAAATAAACAATGAACAAAATAACATATAACTGACTAACTACTGTTCTTGTGATAAATCAAATACATTAAGAAAAATCCAATAGAGTCAATTTCGTATGAGTGGGAAATGTACGCTAGAAATTACCGCACGGTTACCACACAGTTACCGAACCTGGCCTGCACAATTTTTGTGAACCAATGGGCCACTAGAATTTGGTTACAATACGATTACGGTCACAGTACAATACCGTCCGTTTCCCACTAATACGAAATCCGCTCTAAGGCAAGTAACACATTAAATTTTCAAGGTGAAGTTCAATACCTGTTACATGAACAACATCCCCAGGCTCCACTTCAGTCATTTCCCAATCCTGTCTCAAGTAACAATACCACTCTACAGACTGGCTCTCATCAAACAACCTTAAAACCTTCTCAGACAGGACACGCCCATATTTAGACATAGCCTCTGCATTGTTTGCTTCGCATCTATATACCTCAAGAACCAAAAAACGACAGTAGGGGGTAGAGTGGGGAGTATATTCCTCAAATAATTTATTCCTAAAATAAAGGATAAATCAAAATGAGTTCCAATGGTAAATTGCATGTAATATTACATTGAATACTAGAGTACATAGTGCATAGTGCAATTAGCTTAGATGCCGACCACTGATTAGCTGTATAGAATCTTGTACACACTAATTATTCTTGTTTGACTTGAATTTGGCTTCCAAATGACTGTTCTGCAATACTTATCAAAATGCCTTCATTTCTGAAACAGYTGAAACCCTCATCAGGTATGATGTACCTTATAGACATGCAACTATTACCCAGAGGTGTAAAGGAAGTACTTGAAATTTCATTTAATTCAAAAACTACTTTGGCTATAATTGCCTGATTGTTGCTCTTACCTTGGTATTATTTTCTTTGGTAAAGGAGACCATTCCAAGCCATCCATCAAACCATCAATCTCTACTCCTAATAAGCTATCACGTGATACATTGGGTGAATTCTTAGTGGGAGTAACTAATGATATGTYATTKATCAAATGTCTGTCATATTCTTTGRTAGGAGTCTTTTYATCTGATATAACTGTTTCTTTAGGTGGTGAAGTCTTCAARAACTCACTATCAATACCATCAAGGGAACCATCATTCAGAGACTTTTCACTGCTGTGAGAAACCATATCCTCAATTTCTTTAGATTGTTCATTGCTGCCTAATGACCTAGTTTGTACAGTKTTTGTTGGTGTTGATAGTAGTCCAGCTCCATAAARTGCTGCCATAGTTTGGTCATCTTCATCAAAATGGCAATCAAAGCTTTCATCTTCTTGCTTTTGTTTTTTGACATCCTTTTGGAATAAAATTGGCAATCATGATGACAGATACTAATWWATATCTTAATTAAGTTATCAAATGKTTAACAAAATAATACTCTTCAATTAATTCTTCAATTTATTGTTCCAATGACTGACTAGCATGATTTTAGGATGGGTTTGGGTTAAAGTATTAGCATTGGCCCCAGTCCTGCCTATATTATCAACCTATATCATCATCATATTATCAGGCTAACTGATGAAACACACTGCAGTTGTTTTAGGAAGTGCAAGTATATTTACCTGAGAATAACCAAGAGTGTGATCACCTTGATGCCTCTTGCTTGATGGTGACCAGCCTTTGGATGCTGAGCGCTTGAGAGATTTTGCCTTAGCTTTCTTCATGACTATCTTTTGCGGTGCAAGTGTTGGTGTATTGCTGTCAGCAAGCACTGTAGCTTCTACACTATTGACAGTTGAGTCAGCACAGTCCATATTCATGTTAGGTTTTGCTTTCTTTGTAACTTTCAAAGATTTTTTATTAGATAGAGAGGTTTTACATTTGGAGTTGTTACTTCCTGATGTCCTTTTGAACTGCATAATCCTGGTAGGTGGAATATCAGATGTAATTTCCTCAAGTAGCAGGTCAGCATTTACTTCGCTAACCAGTGCACTTTGGCTTCCATCATTTTCTTCTAGCAACAAATCACCAGCTTCACAAATCATGCCATGAATCTTTGAAGATTCTTTGCTTTTCAGAGAAACATGTTTTGATATGTTAACAAATCTTTCTTTTCTATCAATCATTTTCTTTAGTTTTAAACTGGTACAACTAGATTGTGCTTTTTCTTTGTTATATTCAATCAAAGAGGAAGGTCTTATGAAGCTCCTTATTCCAGGTGAAGGTGTAGGAGGTATTACATCATCATCAGAATCAACAGTTTTGTTATGATTGATTATTAATGGTTTGTCTATTTGATAGTAATTTGTTTTGAGATTGTTATCAATTGCTTGGTCATTGTTCTTTTTGCTTGTAGAAGATGGATATTTGTTGCTTGGTGTGATATCACATTCTTTATTCGGTGGTTTGGTGTTAGCACTAACAATTGACCCTTGACCACTTTTTTCTACCTCCTTTAGAAAATGTGATTCAGACTACTGATTATATATACAATACACCACATAAATTGGACATTCTGAATACAAAATACAGTAAAAAGAAAACAAAAAATATAATCCAACACATAAACATTGACTAAAGTATATTATAATATTATTATCAGATGCAATGGAGAACAACAGTTTTCTTGTAAACATTCACATAGTCACCTTTAACTTCTTCTTCTTCGTTGACAGGTTTAATACTTTTTTCTCATCTGGAAAAATGAATTTATATATTAACCGATCAAAGAATATAAAAAATGGATGTGCAGCAGATTGGTGAATTTAGCAGATGCCCAGTTCCCAGTTCATGGATGGAAAATACCATTTTTATAACAGGGCTCGAAATAACGGCCGGTCAAAGGACAACTCAAGCWTGTTAAGACCTGGGAAATGCTTCGCKGGGGTCTAAAATCAATTTTTTTTGCCCTGTAGTTGCTTTGCTTCAAACCTTACAAAATTTGGCATGAGCATGTAACTTGACGATCTTAAGATTTTAAGGACAAAAATTTTACACTATGGCAATCACGTGACCACGTTCCTGGCTCCCATCAACCCAAAAACTTTGATTTAAAACGGGCAGATGAATGTCTTGTGTAGGAAGGACTTAACAGTATATTTTCACTTATTTCTAAGAGATGTATGCAAATCTGCCTTAATACTTAAACTATCTTTGCCCATTAAGGCGATATTTGCTGTTTTTTTATTTACCAAGTGGGTCACTTGACCTTTTACATAATATCGCCTTAACGAGCAAAGTTAGTTCAGGTATTAAGTCAGATTGCTATATATCTCTTAAGGAGAATGAAAATATACCATTAAGTCCTAGGCCACACATGATATCCATCTTCCCATTTTAAATCAAAGTTTTTGGGTTGTTGGGTGCCAGGATCATGGTCATGTGATCACCGTACCTCAAAATTTTTCATCTGAAAATCTTAAGTCGTGTTATATGCTCATGCCAATCTTTGTAATGTTTGAAGCGAAAACGACTACAGGACAAAAATGTTTTGATTTTAGAGCCCAGCAAAGAAATCCCAGGCCTTAACATGCTTGAGAATGTCCTTCCAAATTTGCTAGATGACCGGCCAAATYGGTTTTRAAAGGACCTCAAACATTTTAAGACAAAAAAACAAAAAACAATTCACTAAATAAATCTTTTACAAGTCATTAAAATGCTACCCGATCTTTCTGAATACAAAAACCTCTAAATTAAAAGAAAATAATAGTATAATAAAGTTTTTGTCCTTTCAAAATTCGACATGACCTTCCCAAAATGAATTTGGAAGGACATCTTTGACTTGTCCTGCATATGTCTGGCAGTTATTTCGAGCCCTGTTATAATAAATTGTAGATTTCTTGAGCGCTGATTGGCCGAGGGCTATTGTAACTGAGAGTTTAGACAATGGCAATGACGCATGTACAGCGATCACACTTGTCACACAAAACAATTTACAAGTGAAACTATGCAGAATCTCGCAAAATAAACAATGATTTAAATGGAAAAATTTACTTGATGCTATAAAAAACAATTCACGGGCAGTTTTCTATTGTCTGTACTCTTATTGACAATGAAATTGATGTAAAAAATGCTAAAAATGCTCACTTCAGCTTGTGGTTCCACTTGAGTTTTGAGCATTTTTTACATCAATTTCATTGTCAATAAGAAGTACAGATAATGGAAAACCGCCTGCAAATTGTTAATCTTACTATGGCATGGACATCATAAAATATACCACCAAGGACTATTGTGATGGCAAAAGGTTTAGGTACCAGAAGTAACTTTCATGTTGTAATTAAAGTAGTACTTTTATGGTCATAAAACCATAATTGTACACAATTGTACATTAACATAACTGCTACTTACTCTTAATTGAGGAGCCAAAAGTTGAAAAAAGACCACATGAGTCCTGCAAAACAGAATATTGAAAAAGATATTAAAACTACTGAACCAATTGATATACAAATCTATAATATCATGTGTCTGGAATTATTGTAATTAGACTGCTACAGCCAAGTGTACAGCGTTTTTCTTTCGTATGCGTACTAAACATATCATATAAGCAGATGAATCATGGTTGTAAAGTCACAAGATAACTAAATACACATGGTTTGATAACAGGAACCCACCTTGTTATTGAAAAAACTTGTAATACTGGATTGATTTGGAGATTGATTGGTCTATAAAAATAGGAATTGTCATAATGTCCTTATTCAAGCCAAATACACTACATTCAAAAAACGTTATACAAGAAAAGAAACTTAGAACTGTAGAAATTAATCAAAAGACAAAAGAAAGCTTCAACTTCCATGCTTCTCTTCTGCCTTTTAATGTATAATATGATTTCCTAAAGCTGACTAAATCCAGAAACCCAACGGTGATTGAGATGGTAACCACGKCAMTATGCTCATCAGAACTAATTAGCATATTTTAAATACCATATTTGGTTGTTACTCCTCAATCCACAATTAACAGTACCGCTACAAAGCAAACGAGTTTCTGTTAAATCTCAGGACAGCGTTTATTGAGGCATTATGCAGAAAGAACAAGTTTTAGAATTTTATAGATTATAATTTGTTGATATAATGAAAAATATACAAATTTCACATCACAGAACTCTTTACTTATATCATAATGTATAATTATCATTATCAACCATCATCATCATAACTTTATCATCATCATTTTCATCAGTGCTTAATAACAATCTACTAAAAGACATTTGGGATATTCAATTTGTTACATTCTGAATAAGTTTGCAATCGAGGAAATCTCTATAGCTTGATCAACATCCATCGTTGGTTTATAACTTAAGTAAAACATTTTCTATAAAATATGCTTTAGTTTGATTCATACGAAACTAGAAACTACATAAAACAAACTATTGTAAATGATCTACGGGAGAGAATGATATCAAATTCTGTAAAAGACAGAAACCTTCATTTTAAAATTGTAGACATGGCAAACAATCACGTATTTTAAAATAAGCTTTAAGTTTAACCTTTGACTTGATGTTCGTCTTTGATGTGTCCTTWGCTTTAGCGCGAGATTTATTCATTTCAGCTATCTGCCTGCCTTCATCTTTTCTCGATATCCATAATCACTTTAGTCTTTGATGTATAGACAAATTCTTGATGTCATTTCTGGAAGGAATAAGCCAGTTTACTGGTTTTTCCTCTGYTGTCATAAATCTCCCGCCAAATCGCCATTTTAGAATAGGTAGACTCCGCTGACAAARAGCATTATTGGCTCAATGATTAACCTTAGGGTCATGTTAAGTAACTTCCTAAAGGACCTAAAAACCCTAAACTAAAATTATTCATTTAGCGTTCTTCAGTTTGAAAATAATATGCAGGGGCAAAATGAATTATTAAAAGTAGAGTATGTTTTCCCTCTGAAGTCATAGCCCCCAATGTTGCCCTCCAGTACCATACAACTGGAAATCGAGGATCATGGACGTGGAGCTCAAGCCCGGGGGGTGGAGGGACTCCATAATATCAAAGAGCGGGGGTCCTCGGCGGAGATTGTGAAATTGACACCTAAAAGGGACCTCTATTGTGAGATGATGCGCGTGGCAGTGCTGAAATTTCAACCGTAAAAGGGACCAATCAATAACAGGTCATTTTGTTTTGGTTTACCGATTTTATTTGTGTTTTTACCCAATCATCGAACACCGTCGGCTCGTATTGAGTTTATGACGACGTTGCCATTTTATGACTGCTTAGGGTCGCCGTATACCCTAAAAGGACCACAAAACACAGTTGGTAGGAATTCTTGTCATGATCACCCTAAGCGGGACCAAAATACTGATTTGAAACCCTAAAAGGGACGCCGAGGACCCCCACCCTTTGGTATTAGGGAGTCCCCCCCGGGAGCTGAAGACATGGAAGCGAAGAGAATGTATCGTATAATAATAATAATAATGACTTTAATCCTCAAAATATCAAATTGATACATAGGATACAAATGTATATGAAATTTTTTGCTCATTTGCGGCTTCCATTTTCTTTTTTTCTATTTCAGCCAATACTCACTTACGCAGCGTTCCTTTGTAGGAGCGTAGGTTTTCCTAATAGATTCACCGCCACATAGGGGTGTGGCTTTCGTTCCCTTGATTCCTTTAGCCCGCGTTGCATCCCGGAAATTTAAAAAATACCTGGAAATATCGAAGATAATTTCCGGATGTCACGCAGACTCCCTTAGATCTATATAGAGTTTAGAATTTTCGAAATTTTGACATTTCCACTGGTTACGAGAAAATCAAAGGGTTATAGATATTATTGCTTGTTTTTGCGCAAACTTACTTTTAAACATTGAAAGATTAATTTGGTGCCATTTATGCTAATTTTTGCAAACTTTTTCTTACGCTTCCCCATATGAAGGAAAATGATGANATTTGATTCCCAAGTCTTTTCTAATGTTTCTCAATTTTCGTCCAAGTAGCCCTTTAACCGCTGTACCCTGAGCCCATGGCTCCATCTTTCTGATAGCACAAGACCTCTTCAGTCACTAAGTAGCTATTATATTTGCTACTATTTGCTTTGCTAAAACTCATTCTCTAATGTAAAGAATTTGTCATACGGACCGCGTCGACTTCAAATCTCAGTTAATACTTAAGACGTCAATTGTTATTCGTGTGAAAACAAATAACAAACAAACTAATATAGTGAAGGCAAGAGTTCATACCTGTTTGAGTTTAAGTAAAATGTTGTCTACTGCAGTATGTGTATAGCTGGTAAGTAATACCGACTTTCCTCTATTTACCAGGATACGAACAAGGCAAGCAATAGTAGTGGTTTTTCCAGTACCTGGCATGCCTAATATTAAGGTGTAGTCCTCCGCACAAAGTACTTTCATAATCGCTCTTTTTTGATCAATGTTCAAACCTTCCATGTGAGACTCTGTCACAATGTCACGGTATATTGATGGTTTGGGAGTCTGAGAGCTAAACCACGTGTCAATGTTAGTGACTGATGGCCAGTTTATAGAAATCAATAATAAAATAATAAACGGAGAGAACAAAGCAAAGCAGAGCAGAACAGAACAGAACAGAGCAGCTGAGAGCAGAGCAGAGCAGAGCAGAGCAGAGCAGAGCAGAGCAAATGAATGCAAGCAAATAAATGATTGGGAGGACACCCTATTGACTTATTCCAATCAGTGTTCTGTTTTAACCTGTTAGACAGTTGAGTATCTTGACTACTGGTTCCTGTGGAAACCTGGCTAGTGAAATTAATAAGCGCTTGCCGGCTGCGACAGAAGACCGGAGGCTTCAAATCAATAATCAATTGTCGAAGTTCTTCGTTTCTTGTCGTGTCGTTATGAAGTAATTTCGCTATGTTTGACCAAAGTGTAGTAAGGGTGTTGTAGCCATCGTTCTTGTCAAGACGGTAGATAGGGGTTTGTTGACTATTTGATGTAGATCTGTAGCTGAAGTAAGAACAAACAGATAAAAGATCTATATTTAACACCAGAGTTTATGTYTTCGCAAAMCAGCCCGAAAAAGAACGCGTCCTTAGTTTACACTTTCTTCGKTCCCACAATGCWCCTCACCGTACATAGCATGACGTCATCAGGWGGAAGGCTTTCGGTYTTATCATAACTATTTTCTCACCTTTTCAACAGATCTCTATCAAGAGAGACAGTAACCTCAAGTGATTCGACATGACGAATGTAACCTACAAACGACAAGAAAATCACTGATATGACAAATTAGGTCAACCAATGTGACTATGGTGAAATCACAAGAGTATAAAGATACAAATATATATTTTACTCATGTATAAAAAATAGATGAAAAAATCTTTCAAAGCAAATAATTCAGATATGTTGTAACCGATTTACCTGCAGCTATAGCAATAGAAGAGCTTTCTTCTTCRCTGACCACGACACGGTCACCAGAGTTCAGCGGAATCTCCACAAAAGGAGTATTAATTGGACTATCCGCTGATCGTTTAAACTTGTGAACATGCATTTTATCACTGTCCAATTGAGGATCACGTGATGACAGCACTAGTCCGCTGAAGCATTGACCGAGTGTTTCTCGTTCCAGTCCTTTCAAGCTCCATATATGGTGTTGACTTGTTTTACCAGATTGCTGCACTTCTTTACCCTCGAGGCAAAYCAGTTTAAACCAATCAGAAAAGAACCGAGTATGATCTGACGTCAAGTGTTGGGTGAGTTTGATAAAGTCATCACCAAGACCGCTGGTCACGTGATCACCATTTTCRAGGGATTTGTGAAACAAAGTGCAGTTGTTGGCTTGTGAACAGCGGTTACACGTGTGCGCATCTTTTAGCATCCCTACAACAGAAGACAAGGATGATTGTTTGAATATTGATGTTTCTCTATTCAGTGAAATCTCGTAATTTTCTATCGKCTCCTGTTTTTAACCAACTGTCGGTTTCACCTCATTAAAAGTGATTTCACTGGAATGAATTATAAATTTACAACATCTCAGGGTTTTTACGCAACGTACCGGGCATCTGGCGTCCACCAGTGGTTCGACCAAGAGACAGGTATCGCGCTACTTCATTACGGCGCATGATCAATGCTCGTTTCTCATGGATCAGTGCTGGTACTCCAACCATGTGGGATGACTTCATGTAGTACAGAAGACCAGAGTTGACAGCATGACGGTGGCGATCAGACAGAAGTAATGTGTACAGGATAACTTGTGCGCGGTGATCGACTGAACCTAAAATAAAACAACCCTATTACAATAGCTGTACAGATTAAAAAAGCTAATCGGTTTTATCCTTTTTTTTCTAAGACAGGTTATCATAGCCCAACGTTGTGACAGGCCAGCGGTTATATGCTCATAATTACACATATTCTATTTTGGTCCAAAGCACCACCACCAATCAAACTGATTCAATTGATAAGGCTGCGTCAACCGCCCAAGACATAAAGGCGCTCTGAAGCGTTCTAATATGAAAATGTTGAGAGATTGGGCAATATATCAGAACTCTCCATAATCATGTTAAGTCTTGGCCTACTCTTGGCAACTGAATACAGAAAGTAATAAAGTGACTGAGTGAAGACATCATAGCTTACCTAATTTGGAGAAAACCTTGCCCGTTTTTAACTCTAATGGCACAATACACGACTGGATCGCGTTATCTTTGTCGGGTCTATGTCGCCGAATCTTCGGACGACGATCAATTTTAACTTCGACAGTTGCATCAACTTTACCTACGAGTACAATATAAAATGTACAATATAAAATGTACATGCTCTTTATCTCATTTATTGAATATGGAACGATTGGAGTTCAAAACAATCAAGATCAAGAAAGTTTCCTCTTTCAATTATCCACCCATCCATCCGCCCATCCATTCATTTATTTTCGACTGATTCATTTTCTTATTCCTTTCATTTTCCCATTYATCCATTTGTTTATTAGTGAGCAGTTCAATGACTGATCTACTCATCTCATTCAACCTTCAAAGTACACATATACAACAAGCCCACCTTTCAGGCCAAACCTYGGAGACCAAACATTCTCTTCAATGTCTTTTAATTCTGCTATACAAACACTGGGTTKTTCCTGGGTATCTGAAGWCTCTGATGCTGTCTTATAATCCATAACGCCTAGGTCAGGTTCTGGAGTTGAGTGTATGTATTGCTTAGCCCATTTAGAAAACTCTGGTATAATAGCACTGATTTTGTCCATAGCAGTAACCTCTGTCATGCCAAGACTAAACAAGGAGTCCAAGTAAGAGTGCTGCTCTAGAAGGGATTTTGCCTGTGAGATTAGATATTCAGTGGAGAATTCTGTAATAGAAAATAGAGAAAGAAAATTTTATTTCTTTGTTCAAACATCATCAATTTGAGAAATCATGGTCATCTCTACATTGAAGGCACTTCCTTCATACAATTAGAACTCCAGACATACATTCATTGTTGGTATTATCAGAGTTTTCAATCCATAGTAAACAGCCATTACTTTGTAGTTTACATTTTTTGTCAAAAAAAAACTTATTCCATCATGATGGAATGTTTGTAAAAGCAATTTTAATTACTTTTTTTGGTGAGAGATTGCTGTACAAATCCTGGTAGATACTGGTAAATAATACATGACATTATGTCATGAATATGTGCATACTAGCAACGCCTTCTCGCAACGCTTAAAATCAACAACAGAGCATTGAGTGTGGGAGCAACCTTAACCTACCATTGGACTGCATGGCATTGTCAAACAACTCATGGAGTATTGTGCCCATCAACATGGCTTCATTGGTGTTTTCTGTGCGAAACCTTTCATTAAGAATACTCCTGCGYAAACAWCGTGTTGCCCCAGCGACAGTTGTCCCAGAAACCAATGTATCAGGATGGACAACAAGGTATTGGTCAGTTTTGTTGTCAAGGATACAAACCCTTGATGTCATATCAAATTCTCCTGGTGAAAAAGATGAAGTGTATTGAAGAGTACCTGAAGAATGGAGGGAAGGAAGAATGACAGAGAAAGGAAGAAGAAAAGAAAAATAAGAAAGAACAAGTAGAGAAAGAACAAACAAACAAAAAACGGATAAATGAAAAACCAAAYAAAATAAAKAAAATAAAKAAAATAAACAATGAACAAAATAACATATAACTGACTAACTACTGTTCTTGTGATAAATCAAATACATTAAGAAAAATCCAATAGAGTCAATTTCGTATGAGTGGGAAATGTACGCTAGAAATTACCGCACGGTTACCACACAGTTACCGAACCTGGCCTGCACAATTTTTGTGAACCAATGGGCCACTAGAATTTGGTTACAATACGATTACGGTCACAGTACAATACCGTCCGTTTCCCACTAATACGAAATCCGCTCTAAGGCAAGTAACACATTAAATTTTCAAGGTGAAGTTCAATACCTGTTACATGAACAACATCCCCAGGCTCCACTTCAGTCATTTCCCAATCCTGTCTCAAGTAACAATACCRCTCTACAGACTGRCTCTCATCAAACAACCTTAAAACCTTCTCAGACAGGACACGCCCATATTTAGACATAGCCTCTGCATTGTTTGCTTCGCGTCTATATACCTCAAGAACCAAAAAACGACAGTAGGGGGTAGAGTGGGGAGTATATTCCTCAAATAATTTATTCCTAAAATAAAGGATAAATAAAAATGAGTTCCAATGGTAAATTGCATGTAATATTACAGGAGGTTGAATACTAGAGTACATAGTGCATAGTGCAATTAGCTTAGATGCCGACCACTGATTAGCTGTATAGAATCTTGTACACACTAATTATTCTTGTTTGACTTGAATTTGGCTTCCAAATGACTGTTCTGCAATACTTATCAAAATGCCTTCATTTCTGAAACAGYTGAAACCCTCATCAGGTATGATGTACCTTATAGACATGCAACTATTACCCAGAGGTGTAAAGGAAGTACTTGAAATTTCATTTAATTCAAAAACTACTTTGGCTATAATTGCCTGATTGTTGCTCTTACCTTGGTATTATTTTCTTTGGTAAAGGAGACCATTCCAAGCCATCCATCAAACCATCAATCTCTACTCCTAATAAGCTATCACGTGATACATTGGGTGAATTCTTAGTGGGAGTAACTAATGATATGTYATTKATCAAATGTCTGTCATATTCTTTGRTAGGAGTCTTTTYATCTGATATAACTGTTTCTTTAGGTGGTGAAGTCTTCAARAACTCACTATCAATACCATCAAGGGAACCATCATTCAGAGACTTTTCACTGCTGTGAGAAACCATATCCTCAATTTCTTTAGATTGTTCATTGCTGCCTAATGACCTAGTTTGTACAGTKTTTGTTGGTGTTGATAGTAGTCCAGCTCCATAAARTGCTGCCATAGTTTGGTCATCTTCATCAAAATGGCAATCAAAGCTTTCATCTTCTTGCTTTTGTTTTTTGACATCCTTTTGGAATAAAATTGGCAATCATGATGACAGATACTAATWWATATCTTAATTAAGTTATCAAATGKTTAACAAAATAATACTCTTCAATTAATTCTTCAATTTATTGTTCCAATGACTGACTAGCATGATTTTAGGATGGGTTTGGGTTAAAGTATTAGCATTGGCCCCAGTCCTGCCTATATTATCAACCTATATCATCATCATATTATCAGGCTAACTGATGAAACACACTGCAGTTGTTTTAGGAAGTGCAAGTATATTTACCTGAGAATAACCAAGAGTGTGATCACCTTGATGCCTCTTGCTTGATGGTGACCAGCCTTTGGATGCTGAGCGCTTGAGAGATTTTGCCTTAGCTTTCTTCATGACTATCTTTTGCGGTGCAAGTGTTGGTGTATTGCTGTCAGCAAGCACTGTAGCTTCTACACTATTGACAGTTGAGTCAGCACAGTCCATATTCATGTTAGGTTTTGCTTTCTTTGTAACTTTCAAAGATTTTTTATTAGATAGAGAGGTTTTACATTTGGAGTTGTTACTTCCTGATGTCCTTTTGAACTGCATAATCCTGGTAGGTGGAATATCAGATGTAATTTCCTCAAGTAGCAGGTCAGCATTTACTTCGCTAACCAGTGCACTTTGGCTTCCATCATTTTCTTCTAGCAACAAATCACCAGCTTCACAAATCATGCCATGAATCTTTGAAGATTCTTTGCTTTTCAGAGAAACATGTTTTGATATGTTAACAAATCTTTCTTTTCTATCAATCATTTTCTTTAGTTTTAAACTGGTACAACTAGATTGTGCTTTTTCTTTGTTATATTCAATCAAAGAGGAAGGTCTTATGAAGCTCCTTATTCCAGGTGAAGGTGTAGGAGGTATTACATCATCATCAGAATCAACAGTTTTGTTATGATTGATTATTAATGGTTTGTCTATTTGATAGTAATTTGTTTTGAGATTGTTATCAATTGCTTGGTCATTGTTCTTTTTGCTTGTAGAAGATGGATATTTGTTGCTTGGTGTGATATCACATTCTTTATTCGGTGGTTTGGTGTTAGCACTAACAATTGACCCTTGACCACTTTTTTCTACCTCCTTTAGAAAATGTGATTCAGACTACTGATTATATATACAATACACCACATAAATTGGACATTCTGAATACAAAATACAGTAAAAAGAAAACAAAAAATATAATCCAACACATAAACATTGACTAAAGTATATTATAATATTATTATCAGATGCAATGGAGAACAACAGTTTTCTTGTAAACATTCACATAGTCACCTTTAACTTCTTCTTCTTCGTTGACAGGTTTAATACTTTTTTCTCATCTGGAAAAATGAATTTATATATTAACCGATCAAAGAATATAAAAAATGGATGTGCAGCAGATTGGTGAATTTAGCAGATGCCCAGTTCCCAGTTCATGGATGGAAAATACCATTTTTATAACAGGGCTCGAAATAACGGCCGGTCAAAGGACAACTCAAGCWTGTTAAGACCTGGGAAATGCTTCGCKGGGGTCTAAAATCAATTTTTTTTGCCCTGTAGTTGCTTTGCTTCAAACCTTACAAAATTTGGCATGAGCATGTAACTTGACGATCTTAAGATTTTAAGGACAAAAATTTTACACTATGGCAATCACGTGACCACGTTCCTGGCTCCCATCAACCCAAAAACTTTGATTTAAAACGGGCAGATGAATGTCTTGTGTAGGAAGGACTTAACAGTATATTTTCACTTATTTCTAAGAGATGTATGCAAATCTGCCTTAATACTTAAACTATCTTTGCCCATTAAGGCGATATTTGCTGTTTTTTTATTTACCAAGTGGGTCACTTGACCTTTTACATAATATCGCCTTAACGAGCAAAGTTAGTTCAGGTATTAAGTCAGATTGCTATATATCTCTTAAGGAGAATGAAAATATACCATTAAGTCCTAGGCCACACATGATATCCATCTTCCCATTTTAAATCAAAGTTTTTGGGTTGTTGGGTGCCAGGATCATGGTCATGTGATCACCGTACCTCAAAATTTTTCATCTGAAAATCTTAAGTCGTGTTATATGCTCATGCCAATCTTTGTAATGTTTGAAGCGAAAACGACTACAGGACAAAAATGTTTTGATTTTAGAGCCCAGCAAAGAAATCCCAGGCCTTAACATGCTTGAGAATGTCCTTCCAAATTTGCTAGATGACCGGCCAAATYGGTTTTRAAAGGACCTCAAACATTTTAAGACAAAAAAACAAAAAACAATTCACTAAATAAATCTTTTACAAGTCATTAAAATGCTACCCGATCTTTCTGAATACAAAAACCTCTAAATTAAAAGAAAATAATAGTATAATAAAGTTTTTGTCCTTTCAAAATTCGACATGACCTTCCCAAAATGAATTTGGAAGGACATCTTTGACTTGTCCTGCATATGTCTGGCAGTTATTTCGAGCCCTGTTATAATAAATTGTAGATTTCTTGAGCGCTGATTGGCCGAGGGCTATTGTAACTGAGAGTTTAGACAATGGCAATGACGCATGTACAGCGATCACACTTGTCACACAAAACAATTTACAAGTGAAACTATGCAGAATCTCGCAAAATAAACAATGATTTAAATGGAAAAATTTACTTGATGCTATAAAAAACAATTCACGGGCAGTTTTCTATTGTCTGTACTCTTATTGACAATGAAATTGATGTAAAAAATGCTAAAAATGCTCACTTCAGCTTGTGGTTCCACTTGAGTTTTGAGCATTTTTTACATCAATTTCATTGTCAATAAGAAGTACAGATAATGGAAAACCGCCTGCAAATTGTTAATCTTACTATGGCATGGACATCATAAAATATACCACCAAGGACTATTGTGATGGCAAAAGGTTTAGGTACCAGAAGTAACTTTCATGTTGTAATTAAAGTAGTACTTTTATGGTCATAAAACCATAATTGTACACAATTGTACATTAACATAACTGCTACTTACTCTTAATTGAGGAGCCAAAAGTTGAAAAAAGACCACATGAGTCCTGCAAAACAGAATATTGAAAAAGATATTAAAACTACTGAACCAATTGATATACAAATCTATAATATCATGTGTCTGGAATTATTGTAATTAGACTGCTACAGCCAAGTGTACAGCGTTTTTCTTTCGTATGCGTACTAAACATATCATATAAGCAGATGAATCATGGTTGTAAAGTCACAAGATAACTAAATACACATGGTTTGATAACAGGAACCCACCTTGTTATTGAAAAAACTTGTAATACTGGATTGATTTGGAGATTGATTGGTCTATAAAAATAGGAATTGTCATAATGTCCTTATTCAAGCCAAATACACTACATTCAAAAAACGTTATACAAGAAAAGAAACTTAGAACTGTAGAAATTAATCAAAAGACAAAAGAAAGCTTCAACTTCCATGCTTCTCTTCTGCCTTTTAATGTATAATATGATTTCCTAAAGCTGACTAAATCCAGAAACCCAACGGTGATTGAGATGGTAACCACGKCAMTATGCTCATCAGAACTAATTAGCATATTTTAAATACCATATTTGGTTGTTACTCCTCAATCCACAATTAACAGTACCGCTACAAAGCAAACGAGTTTCTGTTAAATCTCAGGACAGCGTTTATTGAGGCATTATGCAGAAAGAACAAGTTTTAGAATTTTATAGATTATAATTTGTTGATATAATGAAAAATATACAAATTTCACATCACAGAACTCTTTACTTATATCATAATGTATAATTATCATTATCAACCATCATCATCATAACTTTATCATCATCATTTTCATCAGTGCTTAATAACAATCTACTAAAAGACATTTGGGATATTCAATTTGTTACATTCTGAATAAGTTTGCAATCGAGGAAATCTCTATAGCTTGATCAACATCCATCGTTGGTTTATAACTTAAGTAAAACATTTTCTATAAAATATGCTTTAGTTTGATTCATACGAAACTAGAAACTACATAAAACAAACTATTGTAAATGATCTACGGGAGAGAATGATATCAAATTCTGTAAAAGACAGAAACCTTCATTTTAAAATTGTAGACATGGCAAACAATCACGTATTTTAAAATAAGCTTTAAGTTTAACCTTTGACTTGATGTTCGTCTTTGATGTGTCCTTWGCTTTAGCGCGAGATTTATTCATTTCAGCTATCTGCCTGCCTTCATCTTTTCTCGATATCCATAATCACTTTAGTCTTTGATGTATAGACAAATTCTTGATGTCATTTCTGGAAGGAATAAGCCAGTTTACTGGTTTTTCCTCTGYTGTCATAAATCTCCCGCCAAATCGCCATTTTAGAATAGGTAGACTCCGCTGACAAARAGCATTATTGGCTCAATGATTAACCTTAGGGTCATGTTAAGTAACTTCCTAAAGGACCTAAAAACCCTAAACTAAAATTATTCATTTAGCGTTCTTCAGTTTGAAAAT